AATTTATAAAGTCTTTTGTCCAAATGTTTTGTTTGTGCACGTGTTCTATTACCTCTACTGAGCTTTCTATCACAGTTTGTATTGTATTTGTGCACGTGTTCTATTACCTCTACTGAGCTTTCTATCACAGTTTGTATTGTATTTGTGCACGTGTTCTATTACCTCTACTGAGCTTTCTATCACAGTTTGTATTGTATTTGTGCTCATCTTTTCTATTCCCTCCATTGAGCTTTTTATCAAAGTCTTTGTTTTCACTATTAACTGATAAAGTCTTTTGTAAAAAGGTTCTCTTGTATTTGTGTGTGTATTTCTATTTCCTACACAAGTGGACACAAGTGCAGGCTTGATAAATTTAGGCCAGGAGAGGAGTGGGTCAAAGTATCCAATTAGGTTTCAGATTTATGTAGGGTTCTAATCACTATGGGAGGTGAGCGTAGGGACTGGCCAGCTGGTGCTGCAGAATCAGAAGTTCAACAAATGAGGCATGACAATTCCCGCCCAAGTGATGTGATTAAATATACAGATGGCTCTGTGTTGAGGGGCAGACGAAGTGCATGGGGTTCATAGTGAAGGTAAATTGATCCCCCCCCCCCCCATGTGGGTTCCAAGGCCCTATTTTAGGGAAAACAAGAATAGAGCCACTGCCTACCCAAAAGCATGTCGTAAGAGTCGACTAATTGGGAGCTTCCTTCGAAGTCGGAGTGCATCTGCCTGAGAGGCAAGGAACCAGCAGTTTGCATACAAATGAGTCAGATCTGTAAAATGGATGCACACGCAACACTCAGGTTCTGGAACAGGACTGCAGTCCAGCAGTGGATAAACAACCAGAACTTTCCGCTAGAGTTAACAGCTGGTGAACGCGACGAAGAATAAGGTAAATTGGCGCCTGGCATATGATATCACAAAGTCTAGTTTGAGAATGGAGGTGGAGGCAGTCACTGCTGCCTTCCGCTGGCTTGAGAATCAGCTGTACACACAGGCTGTTATTGTAACTGACTCACAGAGCATGCTGAGAAAGGTGGAGAATGGCATGCTCCGTGCAGAGTGGCAAGCATCACTTCAGAGGTCCCGGGTAGTTAGCATCCTTTGGATATTTTCTCCAGGTCATGCAGATGTGTTGGGAAATGAGCAGGCAGATAGACTGGCCAGTTCTGCACCACTTGGTAGTAAAGTGATGTATGACAAGCTGGATTTTTGAGGGCCCTTAAGGAGCAAGTGAACAGAAAAGGAAATGGAGATCCTGTTGGAACAGATAGATCATTATGGTCTGAGGAGAATGGCACTGCGAGGAGTTACAAGGGGATCTGGCCCACGCTCGACTCTTAAGGGAAAGGCGAGATGGATATACAATCAGACAGTTACTGGTACCATCGGAACTGGAACTCTTCGCTTGCTGTTGAAGATGGGGACGGAGCGCCCTATGGGAGTGTCACGAGTGCTGTGATGTTGATTCTTAATTCAACATTTCTATTCCCTGCTCTGAACTTTCTATCAAAATGTGTGTTGTGTTTAGCTATTTCTCAAACTCTCAAACGCTGCTGACACTTTCCGCCAATCCTAACAACAGGATCTCCAACAATACTGCACATGGGAACCAAATCACAAAGCTCAAATCCATATCTTCAATGACTCCCCACCCACTCCCTCTTTTTATCTCAGAATCTCCATCAATATACTGCACACAAGAACCAAACAAGAGACCACACCCACAAACCAAACAGCTTCACAACTTCACCACAGAGAACTTTGAGTTCCATCACCTAAAATAACAGCCCATAGTTTAAAGTGTTAAATCAAGGTCTCAGAGAAACATTTAGCCAGACGAACCATGGACTTCAACGGCAGTGGCCTACTGCTTCCCCATAACAATCTCAACAGTGACAGTGATTATTCCATGACAACAGCAATATACACGAACCAGACATCAGATCTTTGACTGTACGCATCTACACAGCAACGTGATGATGATTCAGTGTAACAAAGACAATAAAACAAACATAAAGACTCTATTGCTAACTACACACCTGCTCACGTGGTTTATTCAGACCCATCAGAAGTGGGTTGTCATACTCCGTTACCAGCCGGGGTGGGTTGGGAACAAAATCTGCATCGACCAGTCTTATAGCCTGAATTGATATAAACAGGTCAAATACAAATCCATTCTTTTCTTTTTTTCTACATTAAAATATACATTACCTTATAATCTTGTTAAGTCGTTCCTCTTTTAAATTGGGATGTAGGTCCCTTACAGTCTTTTTTAGTCTTTCCTCTTCTACACTGGAATGTAGAGGTACCTCAAGTCTTTAGTCATTCGTCTTCTACCCTGGGGTATAATGGTACCATAACTCTTGTTTAATATTCACTCTTCTACCCTGGGATGCAGAGGTATCTTAAGTCTTGTTTAACATTTCATTTTCTACTCTGAGATGTAGAGAGCTGTAAGATGCTTTGCAGAGATTCACATTAAAAACTTGTATTTTATCTGGTGGATGCTTAACACTGGGACAATTAATAAAAGTCACAATCTTATTTAAGATCGACTCCAAAAAGGGCATAGGTTAAGTCTGCATTGCCTTCCTGCAACAGCATAGCATTTTGCACGAGTTGTTGCAGAAACAACCATCAGATAGATGGTGTATTATCGCTGTCTAAAAGACACGACCATTTGGCGGTGTCGAAAGTCCACTTGTCGTCTGGACATACCCATACGGCAAATTGTGGACCTCTTTATGGCGACTAGATAGCTGGGACTCACGAGCAGCAGCTACCCCATCTTCTGCAGCTTCCTCCGTTTTATTTGCTCGTGAGTCCCAGCCATCTAATTTAGCTTCCTCCGCGCCGCAAAGAGGTCCGTAATTTACATGTGACTGAGGGTATATTTTCAGCCTCGATAATTTGGGACCGTTATTCAGAGGATAGCACACACACACACACAAAAATTTACATTTAATAAAAAATAAAACAGTTTACTAAAAAAAAAAAAAAAAAGGGCACGTAGGGATTGAACGCACATTAAAAAAAAAAAAACTGCGCATCACCAAGCAGCCGACTGCGCAACATCAGACAGATATATGCAACACCAAAATACACTAGAAGAGAATTGACAGCATCAGCACACTTGCACCCCTTGAAATAGTGGACTGTCAAGTCAGATGTGGAATCCCCACAGATTCCCCGTGTTTTGGGTACGTTATAAATATTGTACCCAATCCTGTCCTAGCATCAATGGTATCTGACATGACTGCATTAGGGATTTAACTACTAGCTGGCACTATTATAGCTGTTGATACCAGTAGTTATTCAGACACTAGACGATGAAAGAATGACAAAATATTTAAACTATATAACAAACACAGACAGCAGTAGGTGACCAACCTTCAACACATGATCCCACTCATCCGATTCAAAACTGCAGGTGTTGGCTATCTCCTTCAACTCCAGACCCTGCAGACAAGACACATTAAAATGATCAGATCAGCATTTTGCTGACAGGTCAGAGATCAGGTACACAAACAGAAAAGATACAGTGAAAATAAACAGAGATCAACAACAACATGGAGCAGTTACGGACATCCGTGGTGCAACAATTACTTCCCCTGGTTCACCCTGTATAGGGGAGCTGACATGTTGTCACACAACTAACATGGCATGCTGTGTCGTGGTCTACAACCAGCCTATGATCAGTGGAAAGTTCTGGTCCTTCATCAACTTTTGGAATTTAGCCTTGTTCCAGAAATTGAGTTTTGTGTGCCCATCAGTTTTACAGATCTGGCTTATATAAGAGCAGACTGCTGGTTCCTTGCCTCAGGCAGATGCACTCCAACTTTGAAAGGAGGGGTTATAGATTAGGGGTTATTAGAGAGGCAAAGTGGCGTGGTGATTTCTGTCACAGGCATAAGGTAAAATTAAGTCTAATGTGATATGTATAAGGGAATAATCCGTACACCACTCGGGAGCCAGTCCTTCACAGTTCTGGTTTTACGGAACCTCATGCAAGATTCCTGCAGCACGTCCTTGTCGTGTGCCAGGGATAATGTCTCAAATGAGCATTAACAGAGTTGTCAGGGGATCTCATAGTTGGAAGCCCCCAGAGGTGTAGTGTCCTTGCGGCTCTCATCAGCCTGCCCCCAAACGCATGGGTGAAAAAGTTATCAAAACTCATTAGGAACACGTGTAAAATATGCTTGCTAAATGTATAACTAAAATGACAACCCTCGGTTAAAAGTTTGTGGTGTGAAGAGAACATTGTGCTGTGTCGTGAAATGATAGCCATTACGCATCGGTCTGTAAGGCTGATAACCTGTCTTACCTGTAATCTGCACAAAATTCAAACTTGGACTCGCCCAGAAATATATAGTCCCTTATATCTATATATATAGGCCTGTATTGGACAACATTATTATGTCTGCCTTTTCTGGTTACTTTAACTAAACTCCACTTTTAAATGTATATCTCTTAGAGATATATTTAGGGAGTTATTTGAGGTTTCTTGGAAACCGATTTACTCCTTGCCCCAGTATACAGGGAACTTCTTTTGTACCAACGCCTGAAGTGTCTAAGCGACGCTATTCTCCTTGCCAGCTTCTCAAGCATCCAGATGTGTTAATCTGTGCCTGTATAACTTTCACTTTTCAAGGCAATCTGGAAATGTCTCAGTTTTTACATATGCTTGGGTAAGTTAATTATAGTTTACGAGTACCTAGAATGATGTCTGTAAAGTAGTCACTGCTGTAGAGAAATTAGTATCGGCTGTGTTATCTCACTTAGTTCGACCGTTCTTGATCGCTAGAGAAGCGGATTCGAACGTAGATCTTACACTGTACAGACTAAATAGCTTATGCCCTCAATAAACCACCCATATTGATAAACATTTAATGCCCTTACAATTGTGTACCTTTTAAACTACTTACAGGATCTGTACATACGAAATGGGGACAGAATTGGGTCAGGGCTTTGTTAATCAAAGTATGTGTGTGCTTGACCCAGATCAATGAGTGCTGGGGCGGTTGGGAAAGCTAGGGAATGCAGGTACTGACAGTAAATATTGGTGTTTGTGTGCAGAGTGAGGGGGATAGGGAGAGTGATATATGTGTTAGACCACTTTATCTATCTCCACTGTATATCTGACTTGCCTTCTCTTGCACTAAACAGACAGATAAATATAGGAGACTTATGTCTTTTGGTCTGGAGAGGCAATCTGAGGAATGAAACAGGAGAGCAGGGAGGAGTCAGCAGATGGGGGTTGATGACTGATGCTTGCTCTGTCTTTCCTGTCAAGATGTTACCCTCTTGATGATGACTAATGTTGAGTTATTTTCTTGACAGGATGTATATTTTCTGAAGAGCTGGCAGAAGATTCACAGTCTCACCAACATCCACCAACCATCCAACCACCAGAACCAACTTGTTGCCCACCAGATAACACCTGTGAAGGTTCCTGACATCTCCAAAATGTGGGAGATTGTGCCGCAAACAGCTACCAGTGCTAGAGCTTAATGTGGCTCAAAGACATTGTGTGTCCTTACTGGTGATAGAGACTTGCTAGATACCAGTACAGTTGCTGTACAGTGAAGTCCTCTTACTACTTGATCCAGTGGAGCAGAATTCCCAGAGTCAAAGACAGTCGAATCATCCAGAGCTGAGGGAGGCATCATAGACAGAGAGGAGAGAAGATAAGTCTAATGCTTCGCATGATGTTGTGTTCCTCACAGCTCCTTGTGTCCAGTGATGAAAAGATGTCATCTCCAAGGCCTTCTGTCTGTGTAGATCTTAGTGATTTGGACATGATATCCTGAGATCTGGCATTTGTCTCACTTTTATATATCTAATTTATATTGATTACATACATTCATTTTCATGGCTGACTTAGGTGTCTCTATTTCACCTTTTTAAGTGTTTAGCAGTTGTGTATGTATGTGTATCTTCATTATATGTGTTAACATGGTTATGATAATGAACTATCATAACCTGGGGGCTTTCTTTAGTAAGTAGTGGGGGTGTGCCTAGAAATATTATATATATATACTGACATATTTTGTAGTGCCAATACTTGAGTTGCCCTACTCCAGAGATAAGTTGATCGTATATTGGCCACGGGGAATCCCTTAGACCAATACGAGCCAAACGACTCAACATAATTATCTCTGAGTGCTGCTGGTTCTGAAGGAGAAATCCTTACATTAGGCACGCGACAGGAGTGATATGTGACAGAACAACATATCCCCAAAAATCTGTGGTCTCGTCGTGGGATTGTTTTGTACACTGTTCAATCTTTAAAATTTGCTGGTGATCTTGGCCAGGAGTTGTTCAGTGTTTGTTTTTTGTTAACACAGTTGTGACCATTCTGGGTCAGTTCTTAGAGTATACTCCTAGGAGTGATTTGTAATCATTGTGGTGTTTTGTGGTGTCTAAGTACATTGGGTTAGGTACAACCTTGGTTGGTGGAGATAATTTAATCTATTGTTGATTATATTTACATTGTTGGTGACAATATATATTGTTGTGGACTGTTATATTGACAAGACAGCATGTCGCAGTCAAAAATTTCCATACAGGAATTGAAGGACATGGCTGTCCAGATGGGATTGGAGGGTAAAGAAATGACCGAGTGGATTAAAACCACGGAACCTGAGATGAGGATGGAAGCCCGTGAGGCTGAGAGACTCAGAATTGAGGCAGAGAAGGAAAGCGAAAGACTCCGAATAGAATCTGAGAGGGTGCAAGAAACCGAACGACTCAGGATTGAATCTGAGAGACTCCGAATTGAGTCTGAGAGGGAGTCAGAAAGAATGAAGTTGGAACAGGAGGTGAGGTTAAGAGAATTGGAACTTCAGGCTCAGAGAGAGGGTAATAGACCCAGATCTCCAACACTGATATTGATGGTGCATCAATGCACAGTAGCTCAGCTCAAGCGATGAACTTTCCTATGCCAGTCTTCGACCCGAAGGCTGAAAATATTGAACAGTACCTAGACCGATTTGGCAAATTGGCATCTTTGTACAACTTGGAAAGGAACATGTACACGCTGAAGTTGGCTCAAGGTTTGAGGGGTGAGGCATACGAGATTTATCAACGGATGCCCACCGGTACTGAGACTGATTATGATGCATTGTGTCAGGCTTTACTGAAACGTTTCGAACTTAATGCTGCGACATACAGACAGAAGTTCAGAAATGAGAGAAAGATGACAGGGGAGAACTATCCTCAGTTCGCCAGTCGCCTTCAGGGATATTTGACCAGGTGGAGGGAAATGTCTGGATACTCCTCTTCTTTTGAAGATTTACAGGAGATGATCCTAACGGAACAACTCCGAGAGACATTACCTCGCCCTATGCAAACCTTCCTGACGGAGAATGGTGCTGACAGACTGAGTGAGATGTTGATGTATGCTGAGAGGTATGAGATGGCACATAAAGAAGTGTGTATAGGTGGGAAACCCAAGGCCCAGGGCCAAGGGAAAAATAATGGTAATGGTCATAAAACCCATCCAAATGAATCCCCTAAAAAGAATTCATCCCAAGCACAACCCCAGAACCCCTCAAAAGTTCAGGGAACACAATATAGACAACCCTTTAATGGCCCTAAAAAGCCTTACTGCCATATTTGTAAGAATAATAACCATTGGACTAAGGAATGTAAATCCAAACAGTCAGGGAATTTACAAGTATCAGCTTTGTTGTCTACTGTAGTACCTTCTACCCAGGAACAATTGTACAATGGTTCCAATAGGCCTCCTGTGGTAGAGAGGGTTTGGGCTAATGGATATTCTCTAAATTGTCTGTATGATAGTGGTTTGTCATATGGCTGTGTGGTGAGGCCAGAGTTTGTAAAACCTGATCAGTATACTGGCAGATTCATAGAGCTCCAATGTGCCACATTGGATGCTAAACCTTTAAACTTGCCTATTGCTAAGATTAAGGTCCGTTCAAAGTATGTCTCGGGGGTAATTGAGGCTGCAGTGCTCGAACACTGTACCTTTGATTTAATTCTTGGCGCTACTTATGTATTTTTAGCAGAGCCGAAGAAACCTTCAGAGCATCTTGCTGCGGTGACCACCCGAGCACAACATAAAAGTGCTTTAGAGGATTCTCCTCATGTAAATCCTCTTCCTGAGGAAATTAAGGTGGCCCAAAGTAGTGACCCAACCCTTAAGGCATGTTTTAAAAAGTTAACTGCAAGTCACAATCCCCCTTTGAAGAAAGAATTCTTCATGAAAGGTAAGTTGCTTTACAGATGGGCAAGTGACAAGTATACAGAGCACAGTCAACTTGTAGTACCCAAAACATATAGACAGCAGATTCTCCAGATGGGGCACACTATAGCCTATAGTGCCCATATGGGAATACATGCAACGACACAACGCATTGCCTGCCATTACTTTTGGCCAGGTATGTCAGCAGATATCATGCGTTATGTCAAATCCTGTCCGGAGTGCCAGAAGGTAG